TGTGAGTTCTAAGCCACTGGGTCTGGGACTCAAACCATGGTTGACTACATGGGAGTCCAGCAACATAGCCATTACGCCAACTGCTGGTCCCATAGTTGTTGTTGTTATTATTATTATTATTTTTGGTGAGAGGTTTTTGCCATAGGGTGCGTGCGCTCGCCATACAGAGACAGAGACAGAAAGCGAGAAATCACTCCCCCCAGGGGGGGATGGCCACGCCACAATCCCTTCTCCTCCATTCTCCTCTCAGTACCTTGGATACACACACACACACGTCCGGTGTGAGTTTAAACCACCGGGTCTGGGACTCGAACCACAGTCAGCTATGTGGGAGTTCAGCAGTGTAACCATGACGCCATCTGCTGGTGCCCATTTTTTGTTTTTAAATTTGACCAGGGGTGGGGTAGGGGGTGCGGGGGGAATGAGAAAACAAGTCACCAGGTCTGGGACTCAAACCGCATTTGACCATGTGGGAGTCTGGCTCCTTGACCACCATGCCACTTGCTGGCCCTGTTTTTGGTTTTTATTTTGTTTTTTGTTTTGTTTTGTTTTAGTTTCCCACACGAACAACTGCACAGTTTGAGTCTAGAACCTGGAAGCCGATAAAGCAAACGGGGTGTGTGTGTGCGTGCCCAAAATCCTGAGAAGAGAATTGGGAGAGAGGATTGTGACGTGGCCATCCAAACTGGGGGGACCCGCTCAGCTTTCTTCTCTAGTTGGCTTTCTCCAACTAGCACACATGCCCTATAGCAATTTTTGTTTGTTTTCTTTAGAGAAGTTTGTTGGTTTTTTTTTTTGTTTGCCATAGGGTATGTGATCTCTCTGGCTAGAGAGACAGAGAAATAGAAAGCATGCCTGAAATTTCAGGAGAAAAATGGAGGCGAAGGGAATGCAGTGTGGCCATCCCGTCTGCAGAGTGATTTCTCACTTTCCCTCCCTCGCTCTATCTCTGTTCTCCCACAGCAGAGAGAAAAAAAAAAAAGAAGAAAGAGAGACGGAGGGTTCCTGAGTCTTTTATTATCAATCACCCCTTCAGAAGTCCCCCAGAGAGATACTAGGTTGTCGGGAAAGTCCTGACGCAATTCTACATACAAAACCACAAACATGGGAACCAGCAGTTAGCGTCATGGCTGTGTCGCTGGACTCCCATGTAGTTGACCACGGTTCGCATCCCGGACCTGGTGGCTTAAAACTCACGCCGGGCGCGTGTGCGTGCGTGCCCAAGATCCCGAGAGGAGAATGGAGGAGAAGGGATTGTGGCGTGGCCATCTCCCCTGGGGGGTGATTTCTCACTTTCTGTCTCTCTGTCTCTCTCTGTCTGTCTGGCGAGTGCACACACCCTATAGCGAAAATCCTCTCAAAAAAAAAAAAAGAAAAGAAAAAGAAAAGAAAACCACAAACATTTGTCAGGACTTTCTGAATGACCAAATAAAAATGAAACCGAATTTCCAGCTGCCGGCTAAGCCCAGAAGATCTCGTGTCCGGCCTGCGTTCAGCCCAGTTTGACAAAGAGCAGCAAAGTGGCGAGAATTCCTGGCAGCTGAAATAGGAAAAGAAAGAGATATTGAACACATGTAGACCAGCAGGTGGCATAGAGGTTAAGGCGGCTGGATTCCACATGGCTGATTCGGTGGTTCGAGTCCCAGACCCGGCAGTTTGAAAATCACGCCGGGTGCATGTGCATGTGTACCCAAAATCCCAAGAAGAGAAATGGGAGGAGAACGGATACAGGTAGCATCCCCCTGGTGCCGTCTCACTCTCCCTGTCTCTCTCTGTCTTTCTCCTGTGAATGCAGACTAAGGGGAAAAAAAGAAAGAAAGAAAGAAAAAGAAATATTGAACACATGACAGACACCACCAAACCAGAGTCAAACTGGAGTTAGAAGGACCAGCAGATGGCATACTGATTATATCACTGGACTCCCATGTAGTCGACCCCAGTTTGAATCCCAGACCCAGCAGCTTGGAACTCATGTCACATCCGTGTGTGTGCGTGCCCAAAATCCTGAGAGGAGAATGGAGGGGAAGGGATTGTGGCAAGGCCATCCCCTGGGGGGCGATTTCTTCTTCTTTTTTTTTTTTTGGAGAGGTTTTTGTTTGTTTGTTTGTTTGTTTTTGCTATAGGGTGTGTGCGCTCGTGAGACAAAGAGAGACAGAGAAACAGAAAGCAAGAAATCACCCCCCAGGGGGGATGGCCACGCCGCAATCCCTTCTCCTCCATTCTCCTCTCGGGATCTTGGGCACACACACACACGCGCCCGGTGTGAGTTTAAGCCACCAGGTTGGGGACTCAAACCGTGGTTGACTACGTGGGAGTCCAGCGACATAGCCATTACGCTAACTTCTGGCCCCTATTTTATTTTATTTTTTAAACTTTATTTTAATTTGACCAGACAGGAACAGAGTGAGAAAGAGAGAGAAATTGAGAGAGCAAGCCTCCAAGTCCAGGACTTGAACCACAATCAGCCATGTGGGAGTCCAGAGCCCTTAACCACCACACCACCTGCTGGCCCCAAAAGCAATTGATGGTTTTAATATATTTAGAAATCTAGGCAACACTCACTCATCATTTCAGAACATTTTCATCATTGCCCCCCAAAGAATCCCACACTGATTATCACGCACTCCCCACTTCTCCCTCCCCCAACACACTGGCAAGCACTAACTGCATTTCTTTCTTCTGGTTCTTAAAGAGTTTTGCTATTGGGCACGTGTGCTTACTGGAGAGAGACAAAGAGAGGGACAGTAAAACATCACCCCCAAGGAGGATGGCCACGCCGCAATCCCTTCTCCTCCATTCTCCTCTTAGAATAATGGGCACGCACACACACACGCCCAGTGTGTTTCAAAGCACCAGGTCCGGGACTCGAACCACAGTCGACTACGTGGGAATCCAGTGACATAACCATTATGCCATCTGCTGGTCCCTATTTATTATTAATATATTTTTGAATAATTATTTCTTTCACTTTCTTTATTCATTTATTTATTTTTAATTTGACCAGAGAGAGACAGCGAGAAGGTGAGAAAACAAGCCACTAGGTCCGGGATTTGAACCATGGTTGGCCATGTGGGAGTGTCCAGTGCCTTATCCACCACACCACCTGTTGGTCCCCAATAATTAATATTTTTAAGAGGTCTTTACCTCACAGCGTGTGCTCTTCCCAGATACAGAGACAGTGAGAGGGAAGATGGGAAATCACCCCCCAGGGGGGATGGCCATGCCACAATCCCTTCTCCTTCATTCTCCTCCCTGGATCTTGGGCACGCATGCACATGTGCCTGGCATGAATTTTAAGCCACCAGGTCCGCAACTCAAACCGCAGTCAGCCATGGGGGAGTCCAGCGACAAAACTACTATGACATCTCCTGACCCACATTATTATTTTTTAATTTGACCAGAGAGAGAGAGAAAGAGAAAGTGAGAAAGCAAGCCGCCAGGTCCGGGACTCGAACCACGGTCAGCCATGTGGAAGTCCAGCGCCTTAACCCCCACGCCACTGGCCAGGGCTTGTAGTCATCTTCTTTAACTGAAATAACCATCCACTTCCCCCGGTGGAACCCCAGCACGACTACAGCCGGGATTTTTATCTTTTCTCACTGCTGTGTCCCCAGCGTCCAGACCGTGTTCGGCGCACAGTAGGTGCTTACTAGAAGAGCGCGGGGTGTCCCCAGGAAGAGGGTCTCACCTGTATGGCTGCCGCCCCCAGCGAGCCCACACTCAGGATGGAACTTTGAGTCTCGGTTATTTTCAGGAGCTTCTGGAAACAGCCCTGAGGATGCAGATTTCAAAGTGGGAGGGAACTGATTAGGGGCTCGTGAACCCCAAGTTCCCATCTGCTCACATCCCCCAGGTTGCCCGGTTCCTCTTAGATTCCCTGAGGAAAAGGGGACAGTCCCCACGCCATGTGAGGATCCTCTCTGGCCGCCTCATTCCCCCAGGCTAGAACTTACCGCCTAGTCTCTATACCCATACGTGCAATATTCAAGCATAGTGATTAACAACGAGTCATTCATGGGACCAGCAGTTGGCATAATGGCTATATCGCTGGACTCCCATGTAGTTGACCGCGGTTCATGTCCCGGACCCGGTGGTTTAAAACTCACGCCAGGCCCGTGTGCGTGCGTGCCCAAGATCCCGAGAGGAGAATGGAGGAGAAGGGATTGCGGCGTGACCATCCCCCCTGGGGGGTGATTTCTCGCTTTCTGTCTCTCTGTTTCTCTCTGTCTGCCTGGTGAGCACATGTGCCCTATAGCAAAAACCACTTTAAAAAAAAAATTTAGTAATTCATAATACAAATATCCCGGAGTATTAAAAAGAAGTATTTATTTAATTTATTATTATTATTACTTGGAGACGTTTTTGCCTTAGGGTGCGTGTACTCCCCATAGAGAGAGACAGAGACGGAGACAATGAGAGGGAAAGTGGGAAATCACCCCCTAGGGGGCATAGCCACGCCACAATCCCTTCTCCTCGATTCCCCTCTCAGGATCTTGGGCACTCACGCACACACGCCCGGCGTGAGTTTCAAGCCACCAGGTCCGGGACTCGAACCGCAATTGGCTATGTGGGAGTGCAGCAACGTAAGCACTACATCGACTGCTGGCTCCTTATTATTATCATTATTATTATTAGTTTATTTAACTGGAGAGAGACAGGCAACGAGAGAGAGGGAAGTGAGAAGACAAGCCACCAGGTCCAGGACTCGAACCGCAGTTGGCCACATGGGAATCCAGCATCCTAACCACCACCCCACCTGCCGGCCCTCAAATAAGCAATGTTTATAGAAGTCACCGGCCCTCGACGTCCAGCGAGATGACAGGCAAGAGAACCCCGTTACCGCCTGGTGGATGACGCGGGTGGACACGTTGTGGCCATCGCAGTCCGCGGCGCCCATGGATTTGCAGCAGCCCCTGGGGTAGGCGTGGCCGGTTGTCTGCGCAAAGGATGAGCCGGAAAAATCTGTGTAGTTTTTCACCCCGCAGCACTTTAGCTGCAGAGAAGAAAAGAAAGCCTTCAACACCCCCTTTCAGGGACCAGCAGGGGGCAGGGTGGTTTAAAGGGCTGGATTCCCACATGGCTGACTGCAGTTCGAGTCCCGGACCCGGTGGCTTAAAATTCACGCCGGGCACGTGTGCGTGTGTGCTCAAGATCCCAAGAGGAGAATGGAGGAGAAGGGATTGCGGCGTGGCCATCCACCCTGAGGGGATGATGTCTCGCTTTCTGTCTCTCTGTCTCTGTCTGTCTCTCCAGCAAGTGCATGCACCCTTCAGCCAAAATCTCTCAAAACAAAATATCTGAAAAGCAGTGGGCCTCACCTTCTCCATCACCAAGTTCCATCCCGCGGAGTAGTCGTCTGGCTCGTTGTAGCCGCGGTAATTCTTCTTCAGGGTCACGTAGTTGTGTTCCAGGGCCACGTCTCGAACCTGAGGTAGGACAGGATGTGATCAGAGTACCAAGTAGCAAGGGCGACCCACTGGGCGAGGTGTCTGGGCCACAGAGCCCCGAGGCGGCCATCCCTTCCTCGTCCCCAGCTCTCCCTCCCTTGGCTCAGTGGCCTGCACTAGGGACAGAGTCGGGCCCGAGGCCCCGAGGGAGGGAGACGGGGAGCAGGGTGGGCCTGCCGCCAGGCACAGCCTGCTGTCCCCACGACAAACGACAAACACACCGAATCATCTGCCCTTTCAAGTCGCCCACGGCCCTGCTATGCTCACGATTTGGCCAGAACTGATCAAGAATCGAGTTCCCCAACTCAGCCTCTCTCTGCACATCAGGGGCACGTTTCATGGCCTCTTTTTTTCTTTTTTCTTAGAATTCTTTTCTTTATTATTATTTTTTTTTGAGAGGGTATTTTTTTTTTTTTTCTATAGGGCATGTGCACTCACCAGAAAGACAGAGAGACAGAAAGCAAGAAATCACCCCCCAGGGGGGATGGCCACACCACAATCCCTTCTCCTCCATTCTCCTCTCGGGATCTTGGGCACGCACGCACACGCGCCCGGCGTGAGATTTAAGCCACCGGGTCCGGGACGTGAACCCTGGTCGACTACATGGGAGTCCAGCGACATAGCCATTACGCTAACTGCTGGTTCCCCGTGGGGTGAATTTTAAGCCACCAGGTCTGGGACTTGAACCGCAGTTGACTATATGGGAGTCCAGTGACATAGCCATTCTGCTAACTGCTGGTCCCAGATTATTATTATTATTATTTTGACCAGAGAGAGAGGGAAAGTGAGAAAGCAAGCCACCAGGTCCGGGACTCAAACCATCGTCTGCCATATGGGAGTCCAGTGTCCTTCACCACCACGCCACCTACTGGCCCCTATTTTTCTCTTTTTTAGACAAGTTTATTTCTCCCATGAGTGAGAGAGATGGAGACACAGAGAGAGAGAGAGGACACCGTTCCCCACACAATCTCGACACCACGACCCACCCCAACATCAGTCTGGTCTCTCTCTGTCAGTGGCATACATGTGCCTGGTGTGCTCAGGGAGGTGTCTGGACTCGAACCGGGAACCTCCGCATGGAAGACTGCATCACAGAGCCGTGCTATACCCCTGCCCCACTGTTGGCCCACCCCTTGTTTTATACCGACCTCACTGCTCTCCAGACGGCCGTAGGCACTCTGGGAGTTCTGACCACGACCCTTCGCTCCTCTCATTTCCTTTGCTTACTTTTAGAATTATTTACTTAAAGGACCACCAGGTGGCGTAATGGTTATGTTGCTCGACTCCCATGTAGTCAACCATGGTTCAAGTCCTGGACCCAGTGGCTTAAACTCATGCCGGGCAGGTGTGCGTGCGTGCCCGAGATCCCAAGAGGAGAATGGAGAAGGGATTGCGGCGTGACCATCTCCCCTGGGGGGTGATTTCTCGCTTTCTGTCTCTCTGTCTCTCTCTGTCTGTCTGGCGAGCGCACACGCCCTATAGCGAAAACCTCTCCA